TCTTGGCAAGGCGGTGCAGTGAGGCAGCGTCTGACAGTGAGAGGGAGTGAGAGAGTGGGAGAGGGCTGGCCGGCCCGCTAGGGTTAATTGGGGAGGCTCTTTTCCGAGTGCCGAGATGCGGGCACTCGGCAAAGATATTCAATGTTCTTTTAATCCGAAATAATAAAAAAAAATCTGAATAGTCTTTGCCGAGTGCTGCAAGCCTGGCACTCGGCAAAGAGGTTCCTTTGTCGAGTGCCAATTCCGACACTCGGCAAAGTATTTTTTTTTGTTTTCAAATTTTTTCTGTGGCATTTATACAGTACCTTGAAGCACATGTTCCAATTTGAAAATTTTCTATGACTTTTTGGTATATTTTTTTAATTTTTTATGTGTACTTGAATTTTTCTCGAAAAAGTAAATTTGAACTGCAGGTGCATGAAATATTAGAATTTAGCGATTCAAAAAATGGTATTCATGTTTTTGATTGTATTTTGAGGCCGTGTGCAGGGACATTCGTGAAATTTCGAACATCTGTTTCACGAAACATGACCACCAACTTGTTAAACAAGTGTTTTTAATTATATAAAATGCAAACGAAGTCCAAAAATCACGAAACTTGTAGAGGTGTCGTGTCATCGCATGTAGAGGCTGTGGTAAAAAATTTAGAAGTTTCTGAGCAAGTTGTGACATACGATGCCTAAAACCCAGACATCTCTAGACATCTTCAAGGTCCTATATAAATGCCACAGAAAAAATTTGAAAACAAAAATAAAAAAAATAAAAATACTTTGCCGAGTGTCGGAATTACCACTCGGCAAAGGAACCTCTTTGCCGAGTGCCAGGCTTGCAGCACTCGGCAAAGACAGCACGTTTGCCGAGTGCTAACGGCCAGCACTCGGCATAGGATGACGGAGGGGCCACCGGCGTCGGCTAAGGTATTTTGCCGAGGGTTATTCTTTGAGGATTATTCTTTGCCGAGTGTTTGACCCTCGGCAAAGACGGCATTTGCCGAGGGCCGGCTTTGCCGAGTGCGGCACTCGACAAACTGCCTCTTTGCCGAGTGCCCGTGTTTCGACACTCGGCAAAGCGCCGAGCACTCGGCAAAGAGGGCGTCTCCCGTAGTGTTTGCATCATATTCATGACGGTGGAAGTGGTCTGGAGGCATCAAAGCAAACAGTCTTGCCATCTTAACTGATGCAGCACATCTTGTTTCCAGCATTTGCCATATCATTGTTCTCTCTCTGGGCTGGTGGATGGGAAGCAACACGGCGGCAGCCTTATGGGTTCTTTCGGATTGAGATTCTTGGTTCCTTGGTCTCCATTCAGCTCATATCGCTACTTGCTGTCATACTCGTATATGAGGCTATTGTAAGGCTCATATTAATGAGAGTGGCGACGTGCAGGGCTCCCTCGTGTTTGCTGTGTCGGCGTTTGGATTGTTTGTCAACATTATAATGGCTGTATTACTAGGCCATGACCATGACCACGGGCAGGGCCATGGACATTCACATGACCACTCCCACCATGAAGAACAAGAACAGGGCCATGTTCATCACCGCGAGCACGGCCATGGAAGTTCTATTACTGTTACAACACATCAGCACCGCCACTCAGGCACTGGACAGCATCAATCTGCTGCCGCGCTGCTAAGAAGCCTCGACGCAATATAAATGTACACAGTGCTTATCTTCATGTGCTTGGGGAGTGGGGACTCCATCCAAAGCATTGGGGTCATGATCGGTGGGGCTATCATCTGGTACAAGCCTGAGTACGTGGAAGATCAGTGATCTTATCTGCACCTCTTCTTCTCGGTGATTGTAGTGTTCACCACAATCAGGATGTTGTGCAACATCCTTGAAGTCCTGATGGAGAGCACACCCCGTGAGATGGACGCCACCAGGCTGGAGAGGGGGCTTTGTGAGATGCATGGAAGGTGTGGTTGTCGAAGGCGTCGGGTAGGATATGAATGAAGCCCGTGGCGAGGATGATCCCAGCCGCGAATGCCGCCTTAACGAGGAAGAAAATATTCCCGTCGGACTGCAGCGCTCTGGCACGCGGCGGCCAAGCACTGGCAGGCAGCAGCCCATAGCCCCGCACGCGCGTATACACATAAAGGCAACGATCTTCAGCGTCTTGACCTACGCGCGGTTGTCCTGCGTCGCTGCGTCATCAGCCCCGCAACCGCCATCGTCGGCGAAGATGATGAGCACGGCGCGTGACCTAGTCATGTCTGTGAACCGATGATGGACAACTAGGAGGAGGATGTACTTTCTTTGTTGAATTGAAATATAAAAACGAGCAGGAGGTAGACAAGGTAGGTCGCAGGCTCGCAGCCAGCTAGCCGGTCTTATAGGAGGAGGCGGCGAAGAAAACATCCCCGTCGGACGGACTGCAACGCCGGCACGCGGCGGCCCAGCACCTGCATGCAGAAGCCCACAGCCCCGCACGCGGGTAATTTTTAGGTCAACGACCGGGGATCAAACGAATCCTTCATTCCACTGATCCCGACCGAGCCGGTGGGTGCAAGGGGCTCGGCCCTCAAGTTACAGTTCAAAGTTACAGTTCAAGAGTGAGTGAGGGGGTGCGTTTAAATTTTCAAGGGCGGTGCTCCACTTCTCAGCCATGGCCGTGTTCCCTTTTGGGATTCGACAGCACCATGACGACGCTTGGCTTCCTTGCAGGCGGCGACTAGGCGATCAGTATTGGGCTCCATATATAGAAACGAAGGCAAAGATCTTGAGCACTTTGGCATGCAGTGGCGTAGCCAGGATTTATACCTATGGTGGTCTATTGTCTAATTTTTTTTTGAACCGCTATAAACTTAACATGTTGGTAGACTAAGTACATGAATTGCAAAACGCAACTAAAGAAAAAGAGGACATACAGAGTTCATATTACATGCCCGTAATAGTTGAAGAACAATATGGCACTTCTTGTCCGGCCTGCGCCTTCCAATAGCCATGAAAGTGTGCATGATCTCCATCACTCAATTATAAGAAGATATCCCGCTCAATAAAAGCCACTAGACAATCATCTAGGAGGCTATCACCCATCTTAATTATTTTTTGAAGAAGAGAGGGAATATCACCGCTCCTCTTCATATTTCAGTAAGTCTGCAAGAGAATAAAATATTGTTTCCATTTACCATTCCAATAATCAATTGACAGAAAAAATCATATCCTACAATTAAAATTAAATAGTCCAATGTTACCGTGCACTCCAATAATGTAATCTAATGACATAGAATAAAATAAGGTTTTCTGCACGAATTAGGGCGTTCAGCGTTCCTTCAGACTGGGAGAGATTGGGAGGAAAAAAAAACAAACTTACTAAACGAGTAGGCTAATTGGAGACCGGAGACGTAGTACATGCATTCCCATCTGCTATCGCTCACAGCCTCTGGTCGCTCGTCGTCTGGTGCCTGCCGCCGGCCTGCCACCGCCGCACGTCCGCACAACACAGCAAGGGATACGAAGGGGTGTAGACCGGCCGTATTCGCTAAGGGTCGCACGACACGTATTGGCGAAAGGCCGTAGACGCTCCGATGTATTCGATGTTTGGCTGCTCAGATCCAAACTTCATGTATCTATGGGCTTTGTATGGGCCGAGCACATGGTGGTCCGTGGACCACCCAGACCACCATGTAGCTCCGCCCCTGAACACTAACTGTATATGTAAAAACATAGAAAATTTATTAAGATGTATACTTATGTATATATTTATCACACTTATTAAGAGTTATTATGTTTGTCCGATCTAATCAAAGTTGCTGGTTCGCCAGTATCTCCTATATATAGCCGCGCGCGCTGCTAGCGCGAGCCATCCAACATGTACGCGACAACACCGCACTGGCCTCCAGCAGCAATCATGCCCCATCGTGGATCCTCTCCCCGCAATAGAGATCTTGAGTATCCTGTTTGTACCTTACACGCGTCCTTTAGATGACAGGAATGGCAGCGTGATACAGGATGGGTAGTTGGATCCTATTGATCGTCCTGCCACCATATTCAGATTGCACCCTACACGCACAAGTATAGATGGCCAAATGGGCAACCAGCACGGCACGCCCAGGCCCAGCCAAGGCATGGCCCAAAGGGACCATGCCATGCCCGCCCATGGGCCACACCTACGGCCCAGGCATAGCCCTTTACGGCTCGCATCCTAGTAAAGTTGCTATAGTTAAGACTGGCCTACTCCTACAACTACAAATGCCAACTGAGGAGTTGCGACAGATCCTAGTAGAGTTGCCATAGTTTCCATCTCTAAGAAGCACCCGTGGATGCAATCATGCAATCTAGAAGAAGAGACTTCAAGGGTGAAAATAAAAATAAGTTAGGGGTGAACCTATAAAAGAAAGTGATGAAATGGCCTAACAGTGAGTGAAGAGTTATGGTACATGAGCTACTTTATTACAAACTCGACTACTGAAACTCAAATGAAAATCTTCGAAACTCCGGCTCAGATCCTCCATCTGTTGCAGTGTAGGGGCAATCGCCGACTTCTGCTTGGCCCGATTCATGCATATAGACTGACTAAAACCTGACAATCAGTCTCCAAGTGTAAGCGCGTTGTGTTATCCTGTCTGGCCTTCGTCGCACTGCTTCATATTGGGCCTCGGGCTAGTTTCGACGGAGAGCTGTTGGGCTTCGTCGCGGTGCTTCCTATTAGGCTATGGGCCATGTTTCTCCGTGGCCTTTCTGTGAGGAAGTTCTCCACTATGCCTTTTTGCCTTTTTTTTTTTTTTCAAAAATACTCCATTAACGCCCTGACACTCTCCCTACTGTAAGTTGAAGGAAAAAAGTTACAGAAATGAATAAGAAAAATGTTGTTTAAATCCTGACAAACTCCTGTGGACACCATTATTTCTAAACACGACTAGTAGTATATTCATTCTTCAACGAAATTTACACGAAAAAGGTAGCACCGTTCCTTACATACAGAACCACAAAAAGAAACCACCATAACAGTGATTTTGCGTTACGTCGCATATAGTACTCTTGGGCGGCACCAGTGCTCGATCAGGCGAAGCATATGAGGAAGAGGATTTCTAAACTCTCAGCCGGAGTGCGATCAGAGACGCAGCGACCATAGCTATCCACGCCCTTCTTCCCAGCATCGCCGAGGATGCTGCCGCAGAAGTCCTGCATGCACCACCAAAACAGAATTTACTAGTCGCACGAATCATGGAACACCACAAGCGAGGGGGCATATGCTGATTTGCATGCAAGGGAAAAAGATTTGCAGTGGGTCAGGTGGTTTCACTTACTCAGATGCCAAGAACTTGCACGATCCGAAACCAAGAAAGAACACGCATCACATCACATCACTGGAGAATGCAATGCTGCCGGTGACCAAAACCAGAACTGATGGATGGGGATGGAAATGTTCCGTACTTGGGTCCCGTTTGACGAGGGCTCCGGCGCCGCCGAAGTTGCAGGCGACGTCGGAGTTGCCGTTCTGCTGGTAGAAGATGTTGAAGGCGTAGGAGGCGTGGGTGAGGAGCGTGTTCGGCTGGTAGCACCGGCCGCCCGGCTGCAGCTGGGAGCAGTCGGCGCCGCCGGGGCCGCACGCCCAGTCCAGCGCGTTCTGGAGGTCCTCCTGGGTAGCGCCCGGCCGGGCCACGCACCACGTCACGCCGTCGATGAACGTCATGTTGCCTTCCGGTGGCGACAGTGTCGGGATCGGTGTCACCGACTCTGACTTTTCCTGTGGCATGATGCGTCCGGCGGCTGCAGAGGCCGAACACGACGCAAGGAAGGGCAGAGTTATGATGAACTCAAAGAGAACAGAGACTATGACTCCGTGATCAAATCAAACAATCTGAATATTTACAGCTAAACAGGATTTTTATGGACACCACTACTGATGACCATATAAAAATGCTAATTATTGGATCATGCATGTATAGTTTGCATGCATTGTCAAATAATGGATTACTGACAGATGTACATGAGCACACTCTGAATCCTTAGCACATGAGAAATATGGTCGAAAAGATGCAAGCAAAGAACAAGATTGTAATACCAGTACATTACCAACCTATGACCAACCAAGAATCAAAACGCCATGCATGATCATGAGCTCCTTTCTCTTCATGGCTGAAGCAAAAGTTACCAAACTGCAAGACTGTCCCTGCTTTTCACTCGGCCCTCCTTCCTCCCCCGTGTGTGTATGTGCCTAGGAATATAACGGGGATATGAGTGAAGAGCAGATGTACCGACAGTAAAGCAGTCACTGTTCATGGGAAAGGGCTCGATTATGTTGGTCCATCGGCTGCCCTGCACAGGTAAGCGGTAAGCTTACCAGCACACTCACTCACTATGGCTAGAGGTAGAAGAAGATATTGAGAACAGCTCACACACACAGCATAAGCCCAGCGCTGGCCGAAAGCTCTGCTTCTAAATGTGGCAAACTGAACTGTTATTTTGCATTGCCTTCGGTGTGATATATATACAAGTGCTAGTACCTTTACCAGGTACATAGTTGTTGATGAGTACACCAACTACTTACTTCTAAGATACACCAACTACTCCTAATACTAGCAGTACAAAGCTTAGATCAGTACACTACCAAGACATAGCTGATGTAATAGCTTCTAGAGGTGGCCTATTACCATACTGCTACAGCAGTAGAGACTGGACAGCCGAGCTGACCAAATGCCAACTCTGCTACAGCAAGAGAGAGAAAGAGATCAGTAGCAGATTATGTTTTACAATTCTTTCCCTAATCCTGCTACTAACCCTATGCCTTGACCTCATCCATGCCAATCATCTTCCTCAGCTCCATAAACCGCAGGCGCCCGAGTGACTTGGTGAGGATGTCAGTGAGCTGTCTGCCGGTCTCGATGAACTCGATGACGATCTGCCCTCCATCGATGCAGTCCTGGAGGAAGTGGAACTTGATGTCAATGTGCTTGCTCCGGTCGTTGAGGATAGGTTTCTTGGCGAGGGCGATGGCGGACTGATTGTCCACCATCAAAGCTGGCAGGTGAGCTTCCTCGCCGGTCAGCTCACCCAATAGCCGGTCCAGCCAGACAGCCTGGCACGCCATCGTGGCTGTTGTGACGTACTCCGCCTCACCCGTCGACAGCGCCACGATCTTTTGCTTCAGCGACTGCCAAGCAATGGGGGCCGCTCTAAGGAAGACGAGCACGCCGAAGGTGCTCCGTCGCCCGCCATGTCTATGTTGCTGAAGACAGTGAGCTCCGGCTCACCTTCCTTTGCCTTGGGTGGTGTCTCACTGAAGACCGTGAGCTGCAGCCTGCCCTTGCCGCCACTCTTGGGGAAGATAATCGCTTGATCGAGCGTCCCCTTGACGTAGCGCAGTAGCCTCTTCACCATCGTTCAGTCATTCTCGCGTGGGTCCTCCGTGAAGCGACTGACATACCCGACCATGAATGTGATGTCCGGCCGAGTATGCGTGAGGTAGCGCAGCCCGCCGACGATGCTCCGGTAGCGCGTCGCGTCCACCTTCGCCGCCATGCTGTGCTTGGATTGCTTCAGCCGCTCCTCCATTGGAGTAGCTCTCGGCTTGCACTCCGCCAAGCCGCTGCGCTCCAGCAGCTTCTTTCTCATAGGGGCGCTAGCCTAGGGAGATGTGCTCCTTCCCCTGTCTCGCCTCAATGCCGAGGTAGTAGGAGAGCACGCCAAGATCGCTCATTTTGAAACGAGTAGTCATCTCACGCTTGAAGCCATCGATGTCCTCCACCCGCGATCCAGTGATGATCAAGTCATCCACATACACGCCGCCGACGAGCTCCTTCTTCCCCCGTCGTCGCGTGTACAGCGCGTGCTCTGTGGTGCAGTGACTGAACCAGCGTTCCATGCCCGAGGGGCCTACCGCAGCCCGTAGAGCACCTTGCGCAACTTGAGCACCTTGTGCTCAGCGCCCTTGATGGCTAAGCTTGAATGAATCGATCCCCCTTCTGTTGGAGGGGAGCCATCCCCTTTTATAGATGAAGGGGATGGCTTTACAGGTGAGAGGGAGAGAGTACAGATGCTTTTAAGCCTTGTTGCCCACGCCGATGAGGAGTGGATAATGGTAGGCGCCCACAACACTGTTGATGTCACTGTAGAATGTCAGGTGCACATGGGAGGTTGCATTGTCTTCTTCAGGAAGGGTTGACATCGGTACCTGCAAAATACTGCTTGCCCAGAGGCATGCGAGGAGTCTCACCACGTTTACCGGGTATGGTGAATCCCGGCGCCTACAACACTGTAGGGATAAATGTCGGCGCCTACAATACTGTTTGTGTCAGGGTGGTTGTGGAACACTGTTCCCGTAGGTGTACAGGGTATGGTCCATGTACCGTGGTTTGACTCGCGTGCTACTTTCTCCGTTCGTCCCTGGTTCCTTCCGAGCGGGCGTCCCCGGTCGGATGGCCCCAGTCGGCTTTGGTTGCGCCGGTCGGAGAAGAGCGGCGAGCAGGGTTCTCACGTACCCCGGGTCGGAGAGACGCGGGGTCGGAGTCAGAAGCAGGCCTCGGGGCAGGCCTTCCGATCGGAGAGGCCGTCCAGAGGTGGCTGGAGACCGAATCGAAAGCTCCGGTCGGATAGGTGGGCCGAAGTAGCTGACGACCGGGCGTTGCTCTTCTTGAGCCAGGCCTTCCGGTCGGTTGATGGACCGCCCCTTTGCCCTGTTGTTTTTAGACTCTCGGGTCGAGCCTTGGCGTGGAAGCCGGTCCCCGAGGGACCCCGGGTTTATGAACCCGACAGGAGCCCCCGGGCCCCTAGGTGATTCGGGCAGAATCATCCGGGGGATTTTTGTCTTGCCGTCGGGTGCGCGCGAGCGCACCCGCGGGTGTAGCCCCCGAGCCCCCGGGAGGTTCGGGTAGAACCGGCTGGGGGGTTTTTCTGCGTTGTTAGCGGGGGAGGTTTTTTTGTTGTTCGGCGGGTGTAGCCCCTGAGCCCCCGGGCGGTTCGGGCAGAACCGTCTGGGGGTGTTGTTTTTAGTGGGCGTGTGTGCATGTTTTTAGTCTAGGATGGATTTTTGTTTAACCACGGCGTCGTTGCGTAGCCGAGGTGGTTTTAGGCGCAGGGATGAGACAGAACTTACTGATCCCGGTGTCGGTGCGTGCCGTGGATCGGGTGAGAAAGTTAGTTCGGACGTGAGAGAGCTCACTGATCCTGGCGTCAATGCGCGTTGTGGGATCGGGTGAGGGAGTTAGTTTGGGACAAACCCTGGCATCGATGTGCGCCGCGGATGGAGACAGCTTAGTTCGAATGCAACAGAGCTCGCTGATCTTTGGCGTCGATGAGCGCCGTGGGATCGGGCGAGGCGGAGTCACGAGCGGACCCAGGCATCGGTGCGCGCCGTGGATCGAGAGTTAGTTTAGTTAGTTCAGGAATCGGTTGAGCCGGAGCTCGTGGATCCTGATGACGCGAGTTCGGAGTCGCGGTCCCATGAGTCTGGAGTGCAGTCGGAAGTGAAGCCGTTACGCGAGTTCAGAGTCGCGGTCCCAGGATTTATTGGAGCGCAGTCGGAAGTGAAGTCGTTACGCGAGTTCGGAGTCACGGTCCCAGGTTTTGTTGGAGCGCGGTTGGGAGTGAAGCCATTTTGAAGCCAAAGCATAGTTAGTTGGTTAAAGATCGGATGAGGCGATGCTCGCGGATCCTGGCGTCGGTGCACGCTGCGGGACCGGGTGAGTCGGAGTCGTGGATCTAGCGAGTTCGAGGTCGCTGTCCTTGGCGTTCGTCTTGAGTCCCTGAGCCCTGTCGGGCCTTCGTAGGGGTCGATGTGAGTTGTGTGCGTTACGCCATCCTTGGTTTCTCACAAACCAGAGGGGCTGAGTTTCATCGCCTGTCCCAGTCGCTCGGGCTCGAAGACTAGCTCGGTGAGTTCGCTAACGGGTGTGATCGAGTGAAATCCGGGTCCATCGTTCGTGACGGGGTCGGCATAGCTCTCTTGTGACATTCCACTACTCCTTTACCTACAACCTGATAGATGCCTAGGTCGTCCCGGAGACCGACCCGGGTGGCCTAACGGCCTCCCCTCGATGGAGATTTTGTGGGCCTGGCAAGAGGTTCAGGATCGAACGAGAATGTTGAGATGACCCGATCTGCCGGACCGGGCGAGGGCCGCACGGTGCTCATCTACGGTTTTCTCCCCTGGCTCTGTTGGTTGCTCACGTCGAATGAGGCAACCACCGCTTCATGATGCAACATGGAGCGTTCTGATGCATTGCACTGCACGTGTGATGCTTAGTTCCCGAGCCTCTGGGCAGTTCATGCCCTAACCGTCCGAGGGGTACAGGCGTATGAGATGAATGCGCGTATGGATGTATGAATGAGTTTAAAGAAATAGAGGGGGTTTGATAGTTTTTACCTTGACGATTGGAGTGACGGGGCTTGGAGAGCTTCAGTCAGAAACGTCCGACCGGGACCCGTGCTCGTCGTTCATGACGGAGTCGGCATGGCCTATGTGGGGTGTCCCTTCGCTTCCTACCTGTGTCTCGGTGTGGATGCTGAGTGATTCGATCGACTCAGGGGGCCGGTTGGTCTCCCGGCGGAGATTTTGTTTTTTGGTTTCCCTAGGTCTGTCCTGGGGAAGCGGGGGGCCGCCCATGTGTGGTGACGCTTCGGTTTTCATGCCCGGTCGTGCGATAGTGGTGGGCCATACCTAGTCCACATTTTGCCTTGCCAGGCGATGTTCTG